AAGAGGGATGTGAACAGAATGAGATAGATATGGGCAGATAGAGAGATATAGACAGGAACAGACTCTGATAGATAGATAGATAGATAGATAGATAGATAGATAGATAGATTAGGTATTTATTCAGTCTTCCTACTTGGCGAAGAAGACGACTCAAGATCAGTTATTAACATAGAGTTTCGAAAAAATGACCTCGATAAACTTCAGTAGTCAAGTAATTCCAGACTCTTTTCCCTTCTGTAATGCAATGGGGACATGCATTCTTAAAAATGATCTCAGATATTTTCAAGATCTACCAAAGATCTAACCATCTTTTAGATTTAAAAAAATTAAAATAAGTCTCTCTAAAGTCAGCAAATAAAATTTTCAAGAATTAATTTCTATATTTTTTATATTTTCCATATTCTTTTAAATTTTTCAGATGTTTCCAGATTCTTTCAGATTTTCTAGATTACTTTAGAATTTCTAGATTTTTCCAGATCATCTCATATTCTTCTAGATTTTCCAGATTCTTTCAGATTTTCATTATGTCCATACGATGCAGCATAACCCAAGAAATGGAACCAGAAACGAATCTCGTTTTTAGAACTGACGACTGGAGGTGCCATTTTGGGATGAATTCAGGTTTAGTCATAAACTAAAAGCGAAATTTTTATGCAAAATTTTACGATGCTTTCTTTATTTAAATATAAGATACAAAAATATTGTAAAATTCTAAAACCTTCAAATCTCTCCACCACGTTTAAATTTATTCCGATGTACTTATATTTCGAAGTATCAAGGTGATATCTATTGTATTAGACCTTCTTGAGCCCAAGGCTATGTAGTGTGAACATTTACTGTTAAACTGTTCTCTCTGGCAAGACATTTTTTCTTTCAAGACAAAATCTTTTCTCAGAAGAAATGTTTAAAAATTTTCGACAGTTAATATTCTTTTTTTTTTTTTTTTAATGAATTAGGCAGGAGAATATTTTAATATTACTGCATTATAATTACTTTAATTAGATTAATTAATTGAATTAGTTTAATTCCAAATTAAATTAAAAAGAATTACGTATTGTAATACTAATTTACCCACATCGTCAATACTGACGTCCATATTTAAGTAATTTTGCAATTGCATTGGATATATTTTCTGCCCGAGTAATCTGGACATTTATCTCTGCAATTAATTCAATTATCGCATTTATAAAAGAATTCTGATTTTTAAAACATTAACAGGAAAAATTATCAAAAGAAAACTAAGACGGAAAAAAATATGCAACCTGTTTCCACAAATTTGCAAATTAAATATTACATTGTTATGATAACACGAAACGTGTTTAAGGGCATATAGTAATGCATTCGCTTAGCTTAATAACGGGATATCTCATTGTTAAGGTGGGGATCAGACTGTGTAACCGATAAATATATAAAGTCATAATTTGTTTTACATTATAGAATATATATAATTTTTGCTTCTTGTTTTATCTTTTTTTATATTTCTGTTATACCTAATTAGTAAAATAAATCATAAAGAAAAAAGAGAAATTCTTGGATTTTGGAACTTTGCAGACGACAGTAATGTCGGAAACTAGGCACTACCAAAATGGATTCATTTTTTTCTGAAATGGAAGCCAAAAGACGCTACCCTCTGTTCTTAATAATATGCCAAAAAATCAAAGAATTATCTGAAATTTTGAACGAAATTTTCAGTAATTATTCATTGATGGATGAATTGTATCCTGAATCGGTCATTTTATTATAAAACTTTGTGGAAATATTGGGTGGGAACAGTTTCACATTTCGCCTCCTCCCTTTCAATATCTCGGATGCATATTTTAATTTGGTGGCGGGTTGGCGAATTTTTTTTTTTTTTTGTTTACAGTTATATAAAGAAAAATCCTTGAAGATATTATTTCATCCAAAACTTTATGCAATATTAAGTGTGAATATACAGAAAATTCGTCCCGAACCTTATAAAAAATAATTCAATAAAACTCAAGAACTAAATTTTTTCGAGAGTTGGAGTCTGTATAATAAAATATTATTTTCTTTCAGATTTCTTCACTGAATATTTTTTTTAATTACTTGTAATTTTTCAGTGCGATTTTGAAAGAGTTATATTTTATTAAATGGAGACATATTTGAAGAATCGAAAAATGTAGAGCTTAATGCCGTTTTACAAAGTGAACCATTTTGAAAAGATTTTTTCTTTTTTATTTTCATTTGTTCGATTATTTATTGTACGGAAGTTCAAAAAGGAAATACTTCTAGATTACCGCCTTTGACTGACTACTCTTCCTTATCGGAAGAGTAATATGGTATATAATAATTCATTAACCCTCAAATTCAGAATAATAATAAAAATAAAAGTAATGGATTAAACTCAAAAGTATCATTTCAATAGATTTTAATTAATTTCTTCTTTATGCTTCTAATGTAGTATAAAAAATAAGATTACACATTCTACTAAGTTTCACTAAAGCATATAGAAAAAAAATTATATTCTTAAACTATTGGTTATATAAGGTTAAATATAATTTATTTTTAAACATAAATACCATTTTTTATTATTACACTTCTGGTGTTCCGTAATGATAAAAATTTTTTTTCGCGCGCTTTCGAAGTCAAGTAATACAATACAATATTTCTTTTTCTGACCTATGACATCACAGGCTACCCTGTATAAATAAACGTTATTTTCATTATGTTCTAAGCAAAAAGTAAGCATTACTTTTACAAAATCCATTTTATTAATCTTTAAATTCACTAATTACTTTCGAAAGACATCTCTCGGACAAATAGTGGATTTTTAAGAGATTTTTTCAATTTGCTGTTTTATATTTTTCGTCTATAATGTTAGTTTGATGAGTGACGAGTAAACGTGTCGATGTTTTAAAAATGTCTAAAAACTTTATTTACATATGAAAATTTATCTTTCTTTTAATATGGATAAATTTAAAGTTATTATCTTTCAAATAAAACCAAAATTTGACTTCAAAGTGGACAATAAATTTATTTCAAATGCGTTTTACAGTTTTTTGTATGAGTACCATGGTGTTACCTATTGAAATAAATGAAAATACTAAGAAGATAATGCTGTAGTATCGAGTTGACTTGCTGGCACTTAATCGCCAATGTAGTCCTCTAGTTACTACTGGGAGAACCGTCAATGAGTGAATAATAATAATAATAATAATAATTTGAGTTACTGTAAAAAAACTTGTTTTCTGAGACTTGTCGGCAGCTCGTATTGAACAAATGTCGATGTTTTAAAAAATGCCTAAAAACTTTATTTACATACGGAAATGTATTTTTCTTTTAATTTGGATAAAGTTAAAGCTCAGATAAAACCAAAATTTAACTTCAAAGTAGACAATAAATTCATTTCAAATGGATTTACAGTTTTTTGTAGGAGGACCATGTTGTTACCTATTGAAAAGAATGAAAATATAAAGAAGATAATGCTGTAGTATCGAGTAGACTTGCTGGCACTTAATCTCCAATGGGAGAACCGTCAATGAGTGAATAATAATAATAATAATAATAATAATAATATATTAAAAAATAAAATATATAATAAAATAATAAATAGTAAATGCTACGACCTCCAGATCGAAATCAGTTGAAAGTGGCATCTCAGAGCAACATGATTACCTGTTGTTTTTTTAGGTCTTTGAGAATTAATATCAAAAGGAGCGAAAGAGATATATGGATCTAATTCCTTGCGGCTGCAAAATATGGAAAATGCCAAAAAAATCATGCTCCTGGCCAATTCTCACATCTTGTGTAGATTTCTCTTCATGCAGTGACCAAAATTTCATTTCTTTTTCTCTCTGATTGCATAACACCTCATCTGTTTATATCTTTGGATATTGAAAAAAAAACAAAACAAAAAAAAAACTTGTTGTCCGAGATTTTGGGGGAAACACGTACTGAACAATACTAAAGGCAAAGCACAACAACAAAAACAACAACTATAATAATAATAATAATAATAATAATAATAATAATTTGAATTACTGTCAAAGTCGTTTTGAGTTAGTGAATTTAACTGTTTAGACTAAAAAAAAAAAGATCTACCAGAAACTCAATGTTTTTAAAAAGACTTGGAAAATGCAATAATTTTCATTTCCGCGTGACTAAACTAGGATCTGACGAAAAGGACGAAAAAAGAATACATAAGATGCAAAATGGTAGCAAAGTTTTAAATGACCAAATTGATTTATATTTTATTAAAATGAAGGCACTTAACTCTTCAATTTTTATAAAAAGCAAAGAAAATTAACATGATAGGTTGTTAAAGTTTTTAAACTATTTTAGAAGCACCTGAAAATTGATGTGATTGAATGATAAGATTTTAATTTTCTTTGATATCAACTATTTTTATTCCTGTAAAGATTAAACGGTAGTAGATGAAAAATTTCCCTTTTTTTTTTCTTATGAGCTATCAATTGAACTCAGATAGTCATTACTTGTGTCTCCAGGGGCTTATTTTGTCGTTAGGACAACGTTCCCTAACTAAAAAAAAAAAAAGGCTTTTAAAAAAGGGCAAAGAAAGCTACGAAAGAAGAAGAAGAAGAAGAAGAAGAAGAAGAAGAAGAAGAAGAAGAAGAAGAAGTTGTGAATAGGGGAAAAAGAAGCAAAAAAAATGGTTGTGAGTGAAAAGATGGCGGGTAGGGACGTGGTAGGATGCGTAACTACATGTGGACGCATCAAAATTCTCATCAGTTTAAGTATAGGATATCAAAAACCCACGTGCCCTCTACAGAAGACGAAAGGGGCAGGTTGGAGAAGAGCGGGATGACGGGTGGAGGGTAGATCCTGGCACGGGTTGGGGGTAAGAGATACAGAGACGGGGGAGCAAAGAAAAAGAAAGAGAGAATGGTAAAGTTTAAGGACTCTTCCCACTACAACCACCACTTCATGGCCACCGACATCAGGACGCTGCTTTCTAAGAACGAACGATAAAAAAAAAACAACTTCAAGCAAGTTGCAATGAAGGCTTCAACCTTATTTCAATGGCTTCCAAAGAAGGTACCATTGAAATATCTGAAAATAAAAAACATTTCCAAAATTCAGGTTCTTAAATTTTTTAATAAATCTTTGAAAATTATTTATTCACGTAATGTGGTTTGCTTCTTTCTTATTTTTCAAAACGATTTTTTTTTTCAAAGCTAAATAAATTTTCTTTGTTCTAAAGACTTAAGTCTTCATTTCAATTTAAGATTTTCCCCACTCAATCTTACAATTATAATCTTCTACCAAAAAGATATCAGGTCACTTAAAATTCAAGTTTTCCTGTTTATTTTATTTTTTAATTAAGTTTATAATTATCTCTCATTCTATCTATCTCTGTCTCTCTCTCTCTCTGTCTCTCTCTCTCTCTGTCTCTCTCTCTCTCTCTCTAGTCTATATATATATATATATATATGTATGTATGTATGTATGTATGCATGTATGTATATATATATTCTGTGTATATAAGCAGTAAATGTTCTTTAAGGCAAATATTGTTGAAAGCAATTTTAATGATCGAATTTTCAAAATTCCGAATAATCCTTCTTAGACAAGGAAGAAATTATATTAAAAAAGGAATATGTATATAAGAAAACATAAATTTCTTTTTAATATATATATATATATATATATATATATATATTATACGATCTTTTCATTTTAACACAAGTTAATGTAATGAATAAACCAATAAAAATATTATATATATATATATATGTGTGTGTGTGTGTGTGTGTGTGTGTGTGTGAATATATTAAGAAAGAAATCTTTTTAAAAGATTTTTTTTCACAGAAAATGTTATTTTTATTTAATCCAAGTAAAAATCTTTTAAAAAATCTTTTATCAAAGTAAAATTAAGTTTGAAAAAAAAATGCCTTTTTTTTATAGTTCCTCTTTATCGTTATAGATTTGGCTTTTTCTTGAAATAATGTCACTCAAAGAATATTTGATTAACAGCGAGGAAGCGAACCTCTGGCTTCCAAGATGAAGCGAGTTGCTCTTCCTTTTTCTTCTTCTTCTTTTTTTCCCCCTTTTCTTTTTTTCCCCCCTTTTCTTTTCTTGTCCCTTTGGGCGAAAGAGTCTCAGAATGCACAGTAGCAGCAACACCGACAAAACATCATGCCCCCCCACACACACACTTTCTCTCCCTCTCTCTCCCTCTCTCTCTCCCTCTCTCTTTCCCTCTCTCTTTATCTTCTGGTATGTTACCTTCGTTCTCACCCACCCGACCCGCTTTGGAAAAGCTCGACACTCAGCTTACCTCCAACAGGCGATACATACATACATACATATATATATATATATATATATATATATATATATATATATATATATATATATATATATATATACGTGTGTATGGATGGATGTGCGTGTGTTTGTGTAGGGACTCTTCACTCCCCCTTCGTCAGTGTTCCTTCTGAATAGCCTTCTGCTAGAGTCATCAGTAACTCCTCCCCCTAAGCCTTACTCCAACCACTCACACAAGAATTCAATGAACACACACACACACACACACACACACAGAGCAGATAGCATCAGGCTTTTACACTCACGTTCTACACGTACTTTCTTACCTATAAATTTCTACCCTCCTGCCTCTCATTTATTGCTTGAAGCCCTCCCTGTAGAGTGTAGTTATATATCATAGAGGCGGGCGACACGCGTTCACACACTGGCCACTAGACGCCTGTTGTTTAACTCGGAGCCATGCCACGCTCCTTTCTTCTTACCAACAAGCGATATTTTGCAGCTAACCAGGCTGTAAATGTACCGAGTTATACTATTTACACCGACAGCCACGATAGTGAAGGGGAACATGGTAAGTACAACTTCTTGCTCAGTTACCCCAACAAGGGCATCTAGACCAATGTTTGTCTTTTAGTTTTGTTTTGTTTTGTTTTTTTTATATGATTTATTTCACGAAAAATGCAATGTTTTTGTTGATTAGAGATCCTTAACTTAAGCAAAAAACATCTTTTGCTAAAAACAAAAAAGAAGTTACTATTTTTAAAGTTTTCTTTGTTTTCTTTCTTCTTTAAAAAAAAAATGCTTGAATTTATAAAACAATTTCCACAAATAATCAAAATACATTGTTTTTTCATGGGAGTTATATTATTTATATTTTGCTGGAATAACGGAAAAAAAATACAAGACAAAGAAAAATTCAGAAAACGCATCTGTTAAAAAAAAATGATTTTGAAATATACGTTCATTAGCTGCGGTAGAAAATTTTCTCAATGAATTTTTATTTTTTTCTTAGCGATTTTTACAGTTGTTGAACTTTTCTATTTTTTCTAAGTTGTCATTCTACAAAGAAATCGAATCTTTTATATGAAATACTTTTGTGAATTTTAAAATCTTCCCCAAACGTAAATGCCGATGCATCGACGACAACCAATCACGAATGGATGACATACGCACTGTCTGTCTGTCGATCAATTTATCTATCTTTCTATGCTAGAACACCAACCATAAAGCTATGCTTAACGAACTCTACATCAGGCAATTTCTTTGTGTAGTGGATTCCCGGTTTGATCAGCACACCCTCACCTATGATGACCCTGAACATCCGTAGGCTGTATCTATCTATCTATCTAGCTAGCTAGCTAGCTAGCTATAGATATATATTTCAATTTCTATCTATCTATCTATCTATCTATCTATCTAGTCTCATTTTTGGCTATCTATCTATCTATCTATCTATCTATCTATCTATCTATCTATCTATCTATCTATCTATCTGTTCCTATTTAATTTAATTTATTGGATCTTCTTAAAAACGTGCTTCTTTTTCGCTCTGTCGTGCTTATTGTCAGCAACAGATTGCTAACAGCAGTATTCAATGTTGTCCCTTTGCTTGTCGTTATTAAAGCTCTCATATGTACCCGGCTGTCTTGAAGTGATGCCCTAAATGAAAATGCATCTGCACCCTAATGGCACCCCTTATTCCGTGAAGAAGATAAAAGGAGACAGAAAGAAGCGTGATAGTAATGCGTTCTGATTGGCTAATGCAGCCACTGCCCCCCACCCCACCCCCACCACCACACCTCACACCACTGAGCCATACGTTCTTGCAGCGTCCCTGTCGCGTGGCTGTCATGAAAAGTTTAATGAATACAACTTAAAGCCTGATTGGCTGGCTGAGAGGGAGTGTGTGCAGTGACAGAGCAGGAAGGGGGTTAGATGGAAGGAGAAGGGCGATGCTGGCTTTGTTTTTGCTGTAGTTTTATTGGATTCTCTCTTATCTATCTATCTATCTATCTATCTATCTATCTATCTAATTCTGTTCATTTCTACCTAATTTTGGATATGAGCGCTTCATATAATTAGTATATATTTGTTTTTCACAGCATTTTATTCGATGAAATTAAGGAATTGCTTATAAGTTATGTATATTTGTTTTTTTTTAAATCTTTCACTAAATGTTAAACGTAATGTATTGTGTGTAAATCTAAGCCACATTTTTTTAAATAAATAATTTTTTTTTCTGCTAATATATTTCGATATTATTTTCAAAATATTAATAGCAGTGCAAATGTTATTAAAGAAAGTGTCAAATGTCTAATGAAAATTTGCGTCTGTTTTCTTCTTAAATTCCCTTCCAAATAATTTGTAAAACCATACTTTAGCTATAAAATGTAAATATTTTCGGAATATACTGTATTTCTTTTTATTTGTTGTTGTTTCTTTTCTCTTTTTACATTTTCTTGCCTTCATTCCACAAATGCAAACCTGAATTAAACATTTTTACGAATAGATTCTTTGTTTATTATTATTATTATTATTATTATTATTATTATTTACAAATTGAAACAAAAGTAACTTTTCTTTTATCATAAAACTCATTTTTATTCCCCGTTCTTGTCTAGATTTTTGTCTTTGCTACTGATCCCCATCCCCACACACATGCAACCCCCCCATATATACACACACACAGAGACACACACTCACTCTCACACACACACACCGGGTTACATCCCGCTCGTGTCAATCACAAAACCTTGTTTCTCCACCACCACCCTCTCTCTCTCTCTCTCTCTCTCTCTCTCTCTCTCTCTCCTCCGCTTCCTCTGCTGATGTTGTGATGTTCTGGCGGGCTCCACCTCCAATTCAGGTCGGCCTGGTCTTCCTGCCTGGCAAGGCGCCCGGCACGCGCCTCCGGTCCTCCTCTCCTTCCCCACACAAATTCGCATTTAACTGAGGAACAAGCATAAAATGGAAAGCACACAACGTACACCTCCCCGAAAACCCTCATTCCGCTACCCCGACCACGACATACGCGTATATGCATTCTCTCACTCCCGCTCTTTATTTTCTACCCCCCCCCCCCCCGATGTTATACTGGGGTGCCTCGTCTGTCGCAACGAGTCACTTCTCTGTCTTTATAGAATTAATTATTAAATTTTATCTCTTTTTTTTTCTCAAATATTGATGTTTTAATCATAGATTTTAATTAATTAATTTTGTTTTGTTTTTTTTTAATATTTTGATTGTATCTGATGTAACTTTGGATTTGGGACTTCAACTTGCTTTTTATTCATTGCAAAAAATGGCATTTTCAAAGTTATAAAGTCAGAATTTCATTAGTTCTAAGCACCTGCTATAGAGTAAGCTACACTCGCAGACCATTGTTAGTGATTTCCAGATTTACTAAGAGTTCCATTATTGTAACCTTGGGCCAGACAAAGGTAACTCTAGTAAAAATATTAATGCATTAAGGAGAGGTATGTGGAATTTTCGATACAAATAACGGAATAATGACGTGGAAAATGTATCACAAATTGCTAGTGAATTCCTCTCACTTTCTCTGTCTCTTTCCATCGACATACATACATACATATATATATATATGTGTGTGTGTGTGTGTGTGTGTGTGTGTTAATGTATATATGTGTGGGTAAAATTTTAGATAGAGTATATCTGTAAAAGGACAATATGAATAAAGACGAAAGAAAAACTTATCTTAGTCGATGCGTTTCAGCCTTGCATTAACCTGGAG